AGGTTTCCCATGAATACCTTAGGACATGCAGCATCAAAGTTCTTGGTGGATGTATGTACAGTATGTATTTTTCAAAATGTTTAAAACCCTACCACCATAATTCTGAGAGAATGAGTACTTATGAATGGCAAGTATGCAGTTGTGGATGGGCTTTTAAGTTTTGCATCTCAAGCATTCAGGTCAGTGGAAAAAGTAGGCAGGTTACATGTATGGTACTGGTAACGTATAATTCCACAAAGCATTTCATCTTCTTTGATCTTAAAAGTTTCACCATAATTATATTTCTAGGCAGGAGGTAAGTGAGCTACTTTTGGCACAGATTATGACCGGAATGATATGTGTGTCTCAAATTAAAGCCAAAGGGCATAAATAGCATGATCTTTCTTTTTAAATACTTTGGAGTAGTAGTAATAATAATAATAATAATAATAATTTATTTATACCCCACCCATCTGGCTGGGTTTCCCCAGCCCCTCTCGGCAGCTCCCAACAGATTAAAAACAGAATAAAACACCAAACATTAAAAACTTCCCTAAACAAGGCTGCTTCGGATGTATTCTAAAAGTCAGATAGTTGTTTATTTCCTTGACATCTGATGGGAAGGAGTTCCACAGGGTGGGCACCACCACCAAGAAGGCCCTCTGCCTGGTTCCCTGTAACCTCACATCTCACAGTGAGGGAACCGCCAGAAGGCCCCTGGAGCTGGCCCTCAGTGTCCGGGCAGAACGATGGGAGTGGAGACACTCCTTCAGGTATGCTGGGCCAAGGCTGTTTAGGGCTTTAAAGGTCAGCACCAACACTTTGAATTGTTTGGAGTTTGGAGTTATGGGGGCCTAACAGTACAGCCACACTTTAGCTTAATTCTGATTGTTAAAGGATGTGTTCCTGTGCAATTTTTGTTTATGGTGGTAGTTTCATAATTATATAGACACATCTGGGAGAATGGGTTGCCTCCAGTTAATTGCTGAGACTGTGTGGGGGCTTTAACCAAATTAGCTGAATATATGCAGTATTTACACTAGGGCTGCAGAGACATTGCTTGTGTATTGAAGAAAGGAAGCTGAGTTTGCATATCAAGCTAAATGAGATTGATGGTGTGTATACCCTGCAGAGGAGAAAAATAGCAACCTGTTTTCAACTGCTTTAATGTTGGAAGCATTTCATGCTTGCAAAACTGTGTCAGTTATTTAGCTTGTAAATTGCTCCTTATATGCAGGCACCTACCTACCTTCCAGAAATTAGGTGTGTGTGGGGGGGTAGTGGATGTGATGATCATTACAAGTAAAAAAATTATATTTTATTTTATTTGAGAACTTGATTATCCCTGAAATCCTCTAATTTTTTAAGTTTCCCTTTCATTATTAGAGATTCTGCTTTATTTCTACTGTGGGTTCATACTCATGTGGAAGAAAATATTGGTGGAAAATGTTTTGCACGGTGTTGGGAAATGAATTACTCCTCAGCTCTTTCTATTTGGTTTGTCTTGGGCTTGTGGTTAGCAAAGATTGCAGAACAGAAATAAAAATACTTCTAGAAATAAAAATTGGGCTCAGGTCTGTCTAGAAATGTCAGGAAGGTTTTCCTTATGAACTTATGCAGCTAGACTATTACTCCATTTAACTGTATTCTGAGTAGAAGCAGCTCTCCAGAGATTTCCCCCCAGCATCTGACTTACTCAGGGATGAGGGAAATGTGTTCAGTTTATTTAGGCTGCAACCCTATGCCTACTTACCTGGGAATAAGTCCCATTGAATTAAATGGAACTTGTTTCAGAATAGACATGTGCAGGATTGCACAGTTATTTGTTTATTTTGAATGTTTATGGGCTGTTAAACATTACAAACTTTCATAGCAGTGTATACAACAATAAAAATAATCACAGGTTAAAAAGCAATAAAGCAGTTCTCAAAAGAGAAATGAGGTACTGCCTGTAGTCTGAGTCAACTTTCCCTTCTGAGAATGTCTGTTAAAAAAAAAAAAGGTTTTAGCATATGATAGAATGTGTACAATGTCAGGGCCTGTTTAACTTCAGCAACAGTTGGTGAATTTATAAACCATCCCCTAGTATAAAAGTCCTGAGACGGTGTACAATTTTGAGTCATGAGAACAGAAGAATAAAAGAATAATGCAACATTGCAGATGCTGATTTCACTAACAACAGTAAAATCCAGAAGCCATAAAATAAAAATTCAAAACCCCAACAACCAAACTATAAAATGTACTGGCATACCTGGCCAAAAGTGGGAGTCTTTGCCTGTTGCCCAAAACACATCAAAAATAGCACCAGGTAAACTTCTCTGGGGAGGGCATTCCATATGCGGGACACCATGCTCAAGGAAAAGTTCTGCCTATTTCCATCTGCCTAACTTCAGATGGCGGTCCAGAGGAGAATCATTGATGAAGAAGGAAGTGTTTGGGCAGGCCCACGTGGTAGGAAGTGCTCCCTCAAAAAGCCCGATCCCAAGGATGCCTCTGAATGCCCATTGCCGGGGAATGACAGTGAGGGGCTACTGTACTCAAGTTCCGGTTGTGGGCCAGGCAGCATCTGGGTGGCCTCTGAGGAGGTAAACAGGATGTTGGATCAGATAGGCCTTTGGTCTGGTCCAGCTCTTTATGCTGTTTATAGGTTACATTTGAAAACCAGCCAGGTGTAATAATGGGTCAGACTAGGACTGGGGAGCTTCAGGTTCAGATCACCCATAGCTGCCAACTCTCTGGGGCCCTGGGTGCCTGAGCACCCAAAAAATTCCCCACGAAAGGGCCGGGCACCCACAAATTTTGGTGCCAGGGCCATGCACACCACATGACACCCGCAGCCCTGGGCACCCACAGTCACATGGCCACATTGGCCCTCCTGAAATCAGCCATGATTCTCCCTGACTAACCTGGAGCCAGTCCCTACCACTCGGCCTAACCTACCTCACAGGGTTGTTGTGAGGAAAAATGTGGCGAGGGCATGTGATAATAAAAGTGTCCCACAGGTTTTAGCTTTTGGCACAAACTATCACTGGACCAAGAGGGCTGCCATAAGAGTTGAGTTCCCTCTCTGCTCCCCCACTCCCCCCCAAACACCCTGTGATGCGCTTGTTAACTTATTTTTAAACGATGCGAAGCGAGGTTTTATAGCGCGAAGCAAGAGTTGGAAGTTCCAGCCAGCATTTGCCATCCCTTCCGTTCCCGCCTCTTTCTGCCACTAATCCTTTCGGATCTCGGGCCTTATTCTGGCGCTGGCATTTCCCGCCTTCAGCCCGGAGCTGAAGGGAAACGCAGGAGGCAAAGCTCCTTGACGAGGCAGGGAAGCTAATTCAAGGGGAGTTCTTGGCGGCGCCTTTCGCGGGATGGTGAGGGCGGCCCCGTGAGAGGAAAACGGAGCGAGAGGAACGAGAAGCGGAGCGATTGTCAGGCGGCGGAGGCGCCGGCGGGGTGGCGCGCGTGTCTTGGGGGAGATGCGGGATTCCATCTCGTTCCGCTTAGGACGGCTGCTCCGTCTTTTTGACGTGGATATGGAGCGTTTCAAAGCCCCCCAACCTACAAGGAAAACAACACCGCCTCAATGAATTTAGGGACGGCAAGAAGAGGCTTGAGGACGTGGAGCGGCGCAGGATGTGACTCTCCTTCCTAGACCCTGAGCTGCCCAAGGCGTGTTTATTTTTTTTGGGGGGGGGGAGCTGCCAGGGGTTCCCTTCACGTCTGAGCGATTCCCGCCTCCTCCACTGAGGCGAATGCCTGACTGCTTTCCCCTCCGCTCTCTCGAGAGGGAGGGAGGGAGGAGGAGAAACGCGGGACCGTCGACCTCCACCTGCTGCCCCTTTCCAAATTCCCACTGGGCGGCCATTACTGGGGCAGAGGGGGATCAAGCGCTGCTTGGCGCGCGCCCTCCGTTCCCTCCTTCCTCCCCCCTGCCCCCCGCGGCTCTCTCCCACGCCAGCTCGCGCGCGCTAAAAGGTGAGGCGGCGGGAGTCTCTGGCTGGCTTTGGCACAGCCTGCAGCGAGCGGCGTGCGAGGGACTTTGTGGTGCCGGCGGGGACTCATCTCTCCAGCCCTCGCCGCGGCGCCAGGAAAAGCGATGGGGAGCCGCTGCTGCTGCTGCTTCTTCCGAGAGCCTCCCCTCTGGCTGTTCGTGCCTCCATAGGAACCTGCTCTGAAGAGAGCGAGCGCGGAGGAGCGAGTCCAGAAAGGGGGTGGTGGGTGGGGAGGAAGCGCGGCGGCGGCGGCGCCTCCCATCCTCCCGCCAAGTTGCGCGCTCGCTCTTTCCATCTTTTCCCCGTCTCTTCTTTGGCGGAGCTACCCAGAGGAGCAGCATGTGGACTGGCTCCCCGGCTCCCTACAGTGCGCTCGGGCTGCTGCTCCTGCTGTTGCCGCCGCCGCTGCTTCCTTCGACACAGCCTGCTGTTGGCAGCGAGAACCCGGGCGCTGGATGAGCGAGAGACCGGGGGCGGGCGGGTAGCGGCTGCTGCGCCTTAAGGGGCTCTGCTCCCGCCGAGAGCAGGAGGAGCGGCGGCGCTGGGCGGCTCTCGCTGCTGCTGCTGCAGAGGATCCCGTCCGCTTCCGCCACGCGCCCCCCTCCAGATCCGGCGTCTGCTGGCGGGCTGACCCACTGCCCCGTTCTCAACCCCGCCCGGACCCGCATGGCGTGCTACCTGGTCATCAGCTCCAGGCATCTCAGCAACGGGCACTACCGGGGCATTAAAGGGATCTTCAGGGGACCGCTCTGCAAAAACGGCTCGGCCTCTCCGGTAACTGGCACCTTACTCCGTCTTCGGTCTACCTAGAGCAGGCGGCATAGATCTAGCTAGGGGCGCACGTTTCTCGTTGGAGCGTCTGGGGTCATCTACGGGGGGCGGGGAGAAGACGCGGGCACTTTTGCTGCCTTGGGTCCATTTGGTTACATCTTGTTGCTTAAGCTGGCTTAAGGGGAGGGTAAGCTTCTTGAATGTTTCTGCAAAGTTTTCTCCTTCCGAATCCACCGGCGAAACAGGCTTAAGACTCGGGGGTTTGGGAGCGTATCGGTTGTCTTGGTGAGGAATATAGATCGGATTACTTAGGGGAAAAGGGTGTTTGGCGCTGTGGCTCCGGTGAGCCACAGATGGACACGGTGCTGGCAGAAAAAAGTTAGAGCGACTTTGATATGTGGCCGCGGAAAGTTGGTGGAGAAGAATTCGAAGCCTTGTGGGTGGGGGTAACAGGAGTAACGGAACGTTAGACGCCAGAAGAAAGCCATGGGAGCGTCTGGGAGTGACCACTGAAAATGACAACAGTTGTCCTTAAGGCCATATAGAGAGGCAAAGGAAAGGAAACAAGCAGTATGTGGGCCAGAGAGAATGATAGTGGTGCTTAGTGGAATTAATAGAATGCGTAAAGGAAGAGGGGGTTTTTTGGTTTGTAAAGTCTTCTTATTTATTTTAAAGTATTTTCAGCTGCTTTTTAAGGCTCACAAAATAATGTACAAAAGAAAATTGACACAGGCAGAAAAAAAACAAGAGGAGGAAACCTCAGGTAACCTTTTTCACAACCAGGGCTTGACTTTAATCCCAGCATGCATTACAGGAATACTTTGAAATGTGTTTTACGTCTCTGTTCTGCTTTCCTAACATTTTCCTCCTCCTTTCTCTTGTGTCTGCCTCCTTGACAGTCTAAGCAAGGTCTACTTTTCTTAACAACAAGAGAGTTCATTTACTTTTTCTAAAGAAAAGAAGTTAGAATATGCAATATGAATATGGTGACGTTGCACCTTAGATTGGCAGCAAGATGCCGAAGGGGTAGATTGAAGAGAAGTGCCTTAGAGCATGAGTAAGATGCCAGTTGTGCTGAGGTGATTTACAGTGCAATCCTATGCAGGTTTACTCCAAAGGCCTCTTAGGTTCACTGGGACATAGTTCCCAGTGAATGTGTATAAGCTTGTGTCTTAATGCCCAGAATAGGATATAAACTCTGGTATAAAAAAGATCAGGGAAATATTCTGTTGCAGAACGACAGTCTAGAAAGCAGAATTAGAATGCCAATAAATGGAATCTCTGAAAGGACCCCCTCTTAATGACTGGGGTTTTACTACAGAATAATAAAATCCAGAGGTTGAACGATAGTGCTCATTGCAGGATGACAGAAGCACGACATATCTTTAAAGTTTTCAACAGTGACATGATAGTTAGATGACATTTCACAAGCACAATCCTTGCACTATTATAGTAGATAGGTGGGAGCTGTCTAGGGTTGCAAATGCCCATCCCTGAGATGCAACCCATCATTGTGAAGCTGTTGGAGAAGTGTTCTCCAATAGGGAGTGCATATGATGCTGAGAAGAAAGTTCCATGGAATTGGATATAATTGAACAGGTGGCAAAGCTAAAGTGGGTGCAGCTATAAATGAGAGACTGTAAAGAAAAGAAAGTGCTAAAGTGTAAGGAAGGTACAGTGCTCTGGTTGGAAGCAGGATGCTTCCAAATGCCAGTTGCTGGAAACTTCAGGAGTGGAGAGGATTGTTGCACTCACTTCCTAGTTGCTGGCTTCCCACAGCCAACTGGTTGGCCACTGTGAAAACAGGATAGTGGACTAGATGGGCCAATGGCTTGATCCAGCAGGGCTGTTCTTCCCCGAATGGGAAGATTGTGGAAAAAGTGAGCGAAAGCTGTGCTGAAAGCTATGAAACAACTGCAAAGACAGCTTTGTAAACTGCAGAGGAGATTTGATGGGAAACAGTTGGAATTATAAGGAGAAGGTTATTGGTATATGTTGGAACTGACGGAATGTAAAAGAATATGCTCCAAGGAATGAATACTGTAAGATGTGGGTTAATTTTGAGCAAGGAGCATGATACAAAGGGTTTTTTAAAATTAACTAATTGCCAAGCTATGGCAGCTACACAGACAAATGACCGCTGTGGTGTTAAGCACCAGTGAGCTGTCGTTTTAGTGCCAATAACTGGTGAAAATGAACACAATGGGCTAGTGACCCTTTACCATATGTATCTAGTTCTGAGCTCCACAGCATTCTCTTCTAAGAAGTATTTGAACTTTAGAAGTTCGTTTTGCTATCTCTTCTCCTCTGAAAACTGTTATTCTTCTTGTAGGACTCTGGACACTGTAACTTCACATGAAAAAGTAAAAGTTGTTGTGGTGTCCCATCGTTTTAAAAAATCCAAAATTAGGGCAGTTGGGTTGGCCTAATAAAAGGCACTTCCCTAAATATGGGTTTTGTACCTCCACATGTTTCTTCTCGAACATTAAAGAAAACATATTCATAAGCACACAGTTGCACACTTGCATTTTGTGAGAAGGTTCTAGTTTGTTCTTTATTCCAGTATAGCAGCTGAAATATGTATACACAATGTACACACAATGTGTAACCCGTAGTGCAGCCAGATTAGTAAGGTACACTGCATTCATTTATTTGTTTGTGTTTGTAGACCACTTCCACTGATAATGTAGAACAAATAACCACACTTAAACCAAATACCATAAAACTGTAGCACCATCTATGTACAGAGTGCTTTACAATGAGCAGCTTTGACAGGTCCCTTCTCCAAGGGCTTATGATCTATAAATAGAGAAAAGGGAGAGAACAAATGAAGGGGGGAGGAATGGAGGCAGGGGAAAACAGGAAAACAATATGCTATTATTTCTGTTATGCTTACTTTGGCTTAGTTGAGTTGTCCTTCTGTAATCCTCAAAATTGACCGATTGAACTTGGGGAACTTACCCGGAGAAAAGACTTCCTCAGTTTCTGTTTTTATAATGCTCAAAGTCAGGAGTGGCCCATGAGATGCCTTCTAGATATTGTTTGGGACTAAGTTCCTATAAATCCCAACCATTGGTCATGCTGACTGAGGCTGATGAGAGTTGGAGTCCAGCAACATCTGGAGGGCTCCATGTTGACTATCCTTGCTCTAGACATTGGGTGCCAGGGGATGTTTCACTCCTAGGGCTTGTAGTGGCTTGGGGGAGGATATTTTTTCAGGATCTGGTGTATGGGTTAAAGAGGTTTTTTTAATTAAACCTCCTCATAGACTGGTCCTGATGCAGCTCCCCTAGCCTCACTTGTAGTTTAGTCCTCAGTTCCTGTAATGACCATTCAAAGAGCAAGGGCTGTAAGCTGTGAGACTGCATTCCTATCCACACACAGGATTTCTGGGTAGATGTGCAGAGGATCGTACTGCCAGTACAGTGGTACCTCGGGTTAAGAACTTAATTCATTCCGGAAGTCCGTTCTTAACCTGAAGCTCTTCCTAACCTGAGGCACCACTTTACTTAATGGGGCCTTCTGCTGCTGCCGCGCCACCGGAGCACAATTTCTGTTCTCATCCTGAAGCAAAGTTCTTAACCCGAGGTACTATTTCTGGGTTAGTGGAGTCTGTAACCTGAAGCATCTGAACCCAAGGTATCACTGTATTGGTTTTCACTTTGCAGTTGTAATTGACACAAGGACTTCTGCTTCTTAACTGTGGAGGCTACCTGGTACCCAACCAATATGTTTGTGATGTCTAGGAAATGTGTTTTACCCTGTCCTTACCCTTGTTGAGATTTTCATCCAGAATAACTTTGAGAAAATGTCTTTCCCTCTCATTTTTAAAAAAGTGAAAGCTGATTTTAAATATGTTTGAAAGCTGTTCAGGGTTTGGGGGATGATAGGGCGGGGGGAACCCCCGTGGTGATGGCTTGCATGCAAAAGTCAAGAAATTTAAAATGTCAGATTGCTCTGTAAATGTGCCTCCAACCACACTGTACATCTGTATATTCTCAATTCTTGTTTCCCACAGAAAAATATGAATGGACACACTGTTGTTTATGTGGCAGCGGTGCACCATGAACAGGATGTAAGATGTATATTACCGATCCTTCTGGATTATTTTCTCATTCGCTTTATTCTGAAATTACCCTGTCTGCTTAATTTGGAAATTCTTGGTTTCCCCTAGGTTTTGTAGGGGTTTTTTGAGGGGCGGGGGGCTTGATTGAGACATCTGTTTGTGAGTTCAGTGCTTTATCTTTTGTTTCTCGAGCAACATTTTGAACTTTCATATAATCTTAAATATTCTGTTTTAGTGTATGAGCCATTAAAAGCTTCTTGCATTTATGGAGTGCCATCTACTTCATGCATGACTCTGTGTAGCCTTTAATGTGTAATGTGTACCTTTCTATATTTAAAGTGTTCTCTGTTAACAAACCATGAAATGTCAGCAGGCTTATGGCTATGCTTTTGGATATGAGAACAGTAGTGAATATTTTAAACACCTTTATGAAATTTCATGGCTGCGTGAACAACAGTTTACCCATCTGGATATTTGTATGTGTCACTTTGTATCAATGTCAGTGATTGTGCATACTGTACTTACAGTGGACACACAATTCTGGGGGAATGAGGCTCCCATAGCAGCTTATGGAAAGAGCCAGGTGTGCATACACTGCATGATCATAGCCTTTGGGACAATGGCCAGGATTTACACAAGCATACTGTTCATTTTTGCTTATTGCCATAGAGGAGAGAATCCTGCTCTTTACTGATGATTCCTAGCACAGTATGATTTCTCAGGTGAGCAAGAAAAAGTTGGAGGATGCATGCATGCAAGGCAGCGGTAAGCACAACTGTGCTGCAGAAAGCCACATGCAGTCTTATTTCACATATTACGTGTTAATTTTGTACCCCACACCATTTGTTTATTTAGTAGATTTGTATACCACCTTTCATACACGATGGAACTCACCACTTCTCAAGTACAGTGGTACCTCCGTTTAAGAACAGACTTGTTTACGAACTATTTGGTTCGTAGTGTACTGGTTAGCAAACTTTACCTTGGTCTACAAACGGAAGCTGAATGGTGGAAGGGCACCGGCGGTGGGAGGCCTCATTAGGGAAAGTACACCTTGGTTTAAGAACGGCTTTGGTTTAAGAACAGACTTCCGGAACGGATTAAGTTTGTAAACCAAGGTACCACTATATCTGTCATCTAGGCACTGGCCAGACCTCCATTTATATATAGCTGCAGCAGGTGGCTGAATCATGTGCCTCAGACCATGCCTGGGGACCAGCACAAGTATTCCCAGTGCAGGTCACCATTGGAGAAAGAAAAAAGTACAATAAATTCAATCACATACAATCAGTAAAACAGCAGAGCAAAGCAACAGGTAAATCATAGTGAATAAAGCACAACAGATCTTTCTTAGGCTACAGTAGGAGGCAGTGATAAGCTCTGTGTGTGTGTGTGTGTGTGTGTGTGTGTGTGTAAGCCTTGGGTTTGTACATTGTCATCTCTACTTTCTTCTGATATGGCAGCAAGGTGATCTGAAGCCTCACAGTTAACCACAGTTTAGTCTTACATTAGTCTAAGTGTTCTAAACGCCTCTTTCCAACCCTACTGGAATGGGGAGTATGCATGCCCAAGGCTTGCCTCGACTCATCTTTGTGGCAATGAGTAATTGTTTATCATAGACTCCTAGAACTGTAAAGCTGGAAGGGACCCCAAGAGTCATTTGTGTCCTCTTCTGGTCTGACAAAGAAGCCCAAGGGGCAAGGCAGATTGCAGCAGCCCTGTGGCACCATTGAGAGCTGATGCAGCAACTTGCTCCAGCAAAGTCTCCTAGACTCCGCCCTCTTTGTGATAACTACAGTTCTTAAAGGGCCAACTTTTGGGCATGCAGACAGGCATTTCTTCTGAGCTCGCTGGCCTCCTACTTTGTGTGTAACCTGTACTGTTGGACCAGTTCCTCAGGCTCTGGGAAAGACATTTCTGAAGGTCCCAGATCTGGCACTATGAACCTTGGTGTTATTGGATCTGGTCCAGAGTGCTCCTACCTTGACAGCTTTGGCTTTACTGGCTTCCTAGCCAGCAACTTAGAGTCAGGAACCCAGTGTGACTTCTTAGCTGGTGACTCTGCAGCCTCTGATTCAGTGTCTTAGCCTAGGACCAAAATGATGGCCCTCCCTAGGGAGAACATTCCAAAAACAGGGTGCCACATCTGTGAAGGCTTCTCCCCAATTGCCACCTGCCTTATGTTGGATAGTGAGGACAGCTCAGATGGCTATTTTGGCAGTCAAAAATGTAGATTCTGCATTATAGAATGAACACATATGGAGGGGCAATGGGATTATGATACTAGGCTCTACACCCCCCCCCATGCACTTTCGTTATAATGTAGAGTGACCTGTGCATGGTATGGAGTCTATTACCACAATGCCACCACTCACCTGTGGTGTTTATTCCACACAAAAGGGGGCTCAGATGCAGATGATCAACTAACAGATTCTATTGCTATGAAAACCTCCACCTTGTCCCATAAGCAAGGTCTGGCAAGAAGTTTCTGCAAAGCATTTTCAAGGGCAGGTTTCTTGCATACCACTTAAGAGGCTTTATCACAATCGAGTGGTGTGTAAATTTTGTATTTATTTATTTAACAAAGAGTTGTCTACAACTAACATTTACTCAGAGGAGACCCATTGAAATTAATGGGCTTAAGTTCATCACAGTCATTAATTTTAATGGTTCCACTCTGAGCAAAAGTTATTTGAGTACAACCCAAAAGTGTTTATTATAGGCATAACAAACATTTTTGAAATCTAATATAACAAGCTTCTTTTGAAATGTCAAATTATTTTCTGTCGATGAAAATCTGTCTCCTGAAAGGATACCATCATAACAGACTCAAATACAACACTGCAGGTTTGAAATTTGAAGAGACACATACACACATATCCCAAATTAAAAATTTGAGACATGCCTCATGCTTTTCCACCTGAAAAGATTTATTTTTAGGGTAGGATAGAATAAGAATTATTCTACCCTTGTTGGAGTCCAGTTCCTGTGGTTTGGATGCTAGTCCCCTTTCTAAGCCTGAATGAAAAGGCAAGCCCAAAGCAGACACCCAACACGCAACTTCCTCTGAGGACACAGCACTTTGTTAATTCTCACCACCAGGAATGTTGGTTAATCCAATCACATATCATGCAGTGTCATGGCTGTAGTCCATGCCTCTCCAGCAAAAGTTAATTGGAAGAAGGCAAGCAAGTCATGCAGAGTTGCAGCAAACATGCCCCTCACTGGCTCAGAGGCAGTTTTGGGATGGTATGATCAGTGTGGTTGCACTGGGTTGCCACGCTGCAGAAGACACCAAAACAATGCTTTAGAATGAAGCACACAAGACGGGAGGTGCAAAACACACAGGGTGCTACTGTAATTTTAGAGCCCAAAGGCAGCCACTGAGTGGCTGGATGCTTTGAGGCTTATGTTTGTCTCACTTAGAATCACAGAGCTGGAAGGTGCCTCTGGCTGATACAAGAAATCTGCTGTTACAGCATCCCTGACAAGTGGTTGGCTAGTTTCTGCTTAAAAGCCTCTAACAAAGGAGAGGCCACCATCTTATATGGCAGGCAGTCTCTTCCACCATTGAACAGCTTGTTATCATCGATAGTTTATTCCTAATGTTTACTAGAAACCCACTTTCCTGTAATTTGAAGCCTTTGGTTCAGGTCTTAAGCTCTACAACAACAGAAAACATTTTCCCCACCATCGCCTTCAAGGCTGTCCCATTGCCTCTTAATGGTCTCTTCCTTCAGGCAAAACATAATGAATTCCTTCAATCTTTACTCATAGGACTTTGTCTCCAGGCCTTTCTTCTGGACGAGTTCCAGATTGTCAACATAACTTTCCTACACTGCAGTGCCTAGAACTAGACACAACACTCCAGGTAAGGTCTGACCAAAACAGAATAGAGTGGCACAATTTCTTCTTGTCATCTGGACACTCGACTATGTATGAAGCTGGCTTAACACTGAGTTAAATTATTGGTCCATCTAGGCGAGTTCTGTCTGCTCTGACTAATAGCAGTGGCTGTCCAAAGTCTCAAGATGTATTTCCCATTATCTGCTACCCATTCCTTTTTAAGTATATGCCAGGGATTTAACTTGAAACCTACTGCATGGAAAGCATGCTCTGAACGATGTTCCTTCTGTCTCTGAATCTATGGTGATGGCTCCTTTCAAAAACTCATTGACAAAAGCCATGGGTGTTTCAAACGAAGCTTGTTTTGCAAGGGCTGAACTATGACCTTTCCTGGCGCACAATTTGGGAATTGCTGGCTCAGACCAGGGGTCTGGTGTGTTGCTTGCTGGAACAAAATTATTACTTACTGTGAGGACTGAGTAATGTAACTTCAAGACTGATATAAATGGGAAAGCTCTTGAACTGATGATTGACTGAAGAGTGGGGACGAGAAATGCTGAGCTTTAAGAATGAGTCAAAAGCGGTGGACTCCTGAGAGGGTTATATTTCCTTCAAGAGGTGCATTTCAGAAGCGTCATTTTCTCCTTCCCATTTTTCACAGAATAACAAATGCTCTTTGAGGATCCGATATATGTCCCCTGCAAAATGAAATATGACCCATATGCAAAAATCTAGCATTTACTAAGATTTGTAAAGCTCTGTGCAGAATACTTATGGCCGTGAATATATCATACTGATCACAGGGCTGCTTGGAGCTGCTGTTGGGGTTTTTTTCCTTTGATCTGTGATGGATACATATAATACTGGCCTTCTGCAAAACTGCTTCAGTCAGTATCTTACCAGACATGCCACAACCTTTGCAAAAACAAACTCACAAGGCAAGACCCAGACTTTGCCAGGATCTTCGCAGAGTCCTACAGTGGTGCCAATGACTCAGCAGATGTCTTCCTTTCTTCTCCTCCACTGTTTTGATCTAGTGCTGCTGGGCTGCTTGAGGCTTTTCAGCTAAGACATAAAACGAAGTCAGTTTTAGTTACAGTTATTAAAATTACTTCATGTTTCTGCGGGTAATGAAAAGTTAAACTAGTAATTGAGACCTAGGATGGAATGCATGTTCTTTCATAAGGTCCCCCCCCCAAAAAAAAAAATCACAATAGGATATATTAGTACTTGCCACTTTATTCACTCCTCAGATGGTTCTTTAGTGATTGTGTTAAGTAGTTGATTGTATTCCATTTTTAAAAAATGTCTTTGCTTCACTCAGGGCCATGGTGATTTCTTTACTGAAATGCCTAAGAGAGGACCCATAGGAATTAACTGGATTTAACAGTTCTAACTGGGTACAGAAAATGTTCATGTGCTAGAATGGCTTTAACAATGCTTTCTACCACAGGGAAATATGTTTCTCCAAAGGAAGTGTTTATATCAAAAGCATACCAGTGTGAGTAGATAAATAGGTACAGTGGTCCCTTGGTTTTAGAACTGCTTAGTTTATGAACAACTTGGAAATAGAACGCTGCAAACCCGGAAGTAGGCATTCCGGTTTGTGAACTTTGCCTTGTAAGCTGAACATGTTCCGCTTCCTGTTGAGTGTGCTCCATTTGTAAATTGAGCCCTCCGCTGCTAATCAGAGGCTTTCTGTTGAGTCTGTTGGCTGTTTAGGACCGAGCACCCACACAACACAGAGGTGATATTTGGAGCTTTTGTTTTTGCAATTTTTTGTGTGTTTGTGTGGATTTTTCATTTTTTTGACTGTGACTTGTTCTTCATTTTAAGGGACTGACTTGTGACTATGGCTTGTGGCTTTGTTTTTGTGACTTGTTTTTGTGACTGTGTGCAACCCAGTTCAGCTACTGATTGATTGATTGATTGATTGATTGTGTGACTGCAGAAATGGATAAAAGTGCCCCCCCCCCCCGCATCCAAACATTGACTATCATCAGTGCACGTAAGAAGAAGAAAAAATTATTTTAATCATCTACAATACTGTCTTATTTATATTATGGTACAGTACATTGATTATTGCTTTCATTTTATGGGTCAGTGGTCTCATTAGATAGTAAAATTCATGTTAAATTGCTGTTTTAGGGGTTGTTTTTAAAAGTCTGGAACAGATTATTCCATTTTGCATTACTTTCTATGGGAAAGCACGCCTTGGTTTTAGAATGCTTTGGTTTTGGAACAGACTTCCGGAACAGATTAAGTTTGGGAACCAAGGTACCACTGTACTGCAGTGGTAAGGTAAACTGTGTTTCTGTGTGCTCTTGCTTCCGTCACAGTGTCCTCTTGCACCAGAAACCAATTTAGTCATGCTGGCCACATGACCAGCTGTCTGAGGACAAATGCCAGCTCCCTCGGCCTGAAGGTGGAGATGAGCGCCACATCCCATAGTTGGATTCGACTGGACTTAACCATCCAAGGGTCCTTTACTTTTACCTTACCTTCATTGGATCATGGGTCCAAGAATACATGAATTCAGATTAAGCGGTTCAGAGAGAATATTTAAAACAAAATATTAAAAACTGAAGTTTCTTAGAAGTTTCTACTACATGCTGAAGAAGTGAACCATTTTTTCAAGATAAATTCTAAATCTTTCCGCCCACTGGAATTAGGGACCATGGTGTTCAATGGGGCTTTCTCCCAAGTATATGTACATAATAAGAGTGCAGCCTTAAATTGGAAACAGCTTGCCTTTCAGCAGTCAAAGGGTCTGCAGTACACACCTCAAGGAATTGCTTGATTATTTTGAAATATTTAAAATACGATGATGAACAGGAATGGCAGTGAGGTGTGCCAACAACTCAAGGGGAAAGAAATCACAGATACTAAGGGCATGTTTGCGCCGTCTGTTGTTCTGCTTGTATGTCAAGTACGACCAGTGAGTTCACAGCACATTCTATGTGAAGACACTAGCGGTCAGAGCTCCACTTCTATTGAAAAATAATTTCCTTTATGAGAAGAAGCTTGCTTCTTTCAGGATATGTAATGCAATGTCTGATCAAACTTGGTAGGAATGCGAGATCTATTTGCTGGAAAAGTTTCCTGGCCAGGGGCAGTAAGTGCTGTAGGCGTTTATTAGATGTTAGCGGGTGACTCCCACTGAAACTCAGTTTCCATTTACGTAGTGAGTAAAGTTGTTTTGTGGCATTACGAAGCAGTGAAAAGAATCATAGAATTGTAGAGCTGGAAGGAACAGTGACTTGAAAAATTAAGTGAGTAAATAAATAAGCTCTAATCTTTGAATCCTAAGGACGTCAAGGCAATATGTAGCATTATTAAAATGAACAATTGCATTTCGGAATAAGGTTGCTTCCATGAACGTTGTTCACTGAGAACTCTTCAGTCAAGCTGCTTTATATTTGAAATAAAGGACCTGAAAAAAAAATGAGAATGTGAAAGCCTTTTAAGGTGGATTTTTTGCATTCATTTAGTTTCTCATAAAGAATTATCTGAACCATGTCTGATCATTGGGCTCAGGACAGCAATATTTTTGTGTGGGTAGTTTCTCATGCACTGTGGAAAAACCTCAGTCCCGTTACTGTAATACGTGCAAAGGTTAAGTCTGGACTTTCACTGAAATTTCCATTATATAAAGGTTCTATGGATGGAACACACAAAGGTTCTGTGCATAGCTGAGGTCTAGTCTATCCATTATGCCTGCAGTTGTTATCTTCCGGTTAAAGTCTCCTTTAATGAAGAAGCTAAAAAGACCCCAGCTGTAGGTTTTATGTAGGACAATCCAATGCAATTCTGCTCAGAAATAAGTGAAACTGTGTTCAGTGAGACTCACTTTAAAGCCAGCATTTGAATTCTCTCTCACCTGTAAAATGTTATGAATAAAAAAGCCACACTGACCGGGGCTGGATCTCGACACAGCAAAGAAGTGATTCAGTTAAATGCTTTGTAAACTTCATAGAGGGAAGTTCTGTTGGCAAAAAAACGGAACTCCACAGCACCATATAGTGTCATAACGTTATAATGCCTATTAAGCGCTTTATCTTTACAAATGTAGCTGAGTCCCAGATCATACCCTCAGGTTTAAAACTGGCTAATTTCTGCTTTCTATATTGCATTAAAAGCATTCAGAAATAATGGACTCTGAACCACAGGTTTTACCTGGCATGACTTCAAAACAACAACACACCACTAAAGATCTTGCAGCCTTATGTGCTGGTCTTGTGTTCAGTGCAGCTGCATTGAAGTTCAGAAGAAACAGAGTTTTAAGCCTTTGTTGTTTGTTGTAAAAGTCTTTGTTTATCTTCAGTTGTTTTTGTCATGCTGTCATGGACCAGCTGGGTAAGCACCACGAGCCACAGTTTAAGAACCACTGGGTTGCTGAAGAAAAATTGCCTACTTATCTCAGGAGACACCTTTATTGTTAAATATTTACTCTAGTGACTCTATCATCAAGGTAACTGTTACTATTTTATAGTGATAAACTGATGGCATGTTAATTTTGAGATTTTTCTGCCATATGCCTAATGGATAAGATGTAAACATTTTCTTCAGACTTCTGCCCCAGTTTCAAGCTTAGATGCAGTCATAATAGGCAAGCTTCCTTAAGAAGCCTTCCCACCCACACCCACCTCCTAGAAAAGTTGCAGGAAGATTGAATGAAAGTCTGCATACTCTAATCAGCTGGTCTATATGATGGTATCATAAGTAAAGATATGTGGTCTGACTGCCCCAAATTGGGCAAGGGCTTGGTCTTGTATCCATGCATGATGTTACTATATACTCGGTCCAGGGTATTTCCCCCCCTAGTGGGACAATCAACATACTGGTGGAACTTAGGGAGCACAGTTCTTAAATCGGCTCGGTTAAAATCACCAGCAACCACAAATGCTCCATCCGGGTGGGCCCGCTGCTGTCTGCTAATAGCAGTTAGCAGGTGGCCCATAGCTGTAGTAATGTTTGCATCGGGAGGTATATACACCGCTGTTATTATAACAACATTAAACTCACGTGGCAAATTAAAGGGCGGCACTTCACCACTAGGTACTCCAAGTCAGGAGAGCAATGCGTGTCCATTTGTTTGATGTCCGAGCTCCAGTTGTTATTTATATAAACGCAAATTCCTCCTCCTCTGCTCTTCCCGGATTCGGCGGTTCTATCCGCTCTAATTACTGAGCGTCCTTCTAGCTGCAGAAGTCCCTGTGGAAAGGAGGGATCCAGCCACGTCTCTAGAAGGACCATAACACAGCAATCCCGGATACTTTTCTGCCGAGAGGTAATAAGTTCCAACTCCTCTACCTTGTTGGATAAGGATCTCACATTTGATACAAGGAGACTTGGCAATGCAGGCTTGTGGGGGTTTTTACCTAGCCTCACTCGTAGACCAGCCCTGCAACCCCTCTTCTGCTTGCGCCCCCTCCGTTTTCTTTTCTTTCTGGCAAGGAGAGCAAGGGAGTATCCCAAGAATGTGCAAAATATGGAGGCTCTCTGATAAGCTCAGCTGGAATGTTATAGGTTGAGACCTCCTGGCTGCAACCTTCTCCTCTGCCGATACTTAAGAGCTCTTGACGACTATAAATTACTTGTGCCTGAGTATTCACAGTCCCTAGCAGCAATAAGTTCACAAGTAAAAATATCTTTACTTATGATACCATCATATAGACCTCTCGTACGCAGAATTAGACCATCAACTAGAGAGATACGAGTGTGGCCAGTAGGTGCATCTGAGCAACTTCAAGATTGCTTTCGGAGCACCGAGTGGTCGCTCTTTGTGGAGAATAATGTGGACACATACGCTTCAACAGTACTGTTCTACGTTAAAAGCTGCATTGATGTTGTCACTACCACCAAACAAATACGGGTGTTCCCTAACAACAAGCCCTGGCTAAACAGGGATGTGTACCTTCTGTTAAAGGCAAGAAATGCTGCTTTTCACTCTGGTGATGCGCAGCAGTACAGAGAAGCCAGAGCCAAATTGAAAAAGGGCATTAGGAACGCCAAAGCTATGTACTGCCGGAGGATCGAAAAACATTTTGAGAGCTCCGACCCTCGTCGAGTATGGCAAGGCCTGCGACAAATTACAGGGCAAAATATTAAAAACGAACTGGCTAGCAGCAGTGCGCACCTGGCTGATCAACTGAATCAATTTTTTAGTCGCTTTGAGGTGGGAACTGGAACTACCG